CACACTATATACACGAACGACTTACACATTACACAGTCACAATGAATACATTGAATTATGCATAGAGCCAAGTTATAGAAAAATCCCTTTTTTATATCGAGAAAATATACCTGACGCATTTTCCCCTTTGAACACTTTCAGCGTGAGTTAGATAGAATGTTTTAGTCATAGGCAACAAATAACTCCTCACTCCTTTACATGCGTGATACTACCTACAACTTGCGTTAATGACTGTGGAAACGAATACGACCGCGCTTGCTCGTGTTTCTCGAAGGCAGGCGCTCGCAGTGACGATGGTTTAATGACACATCACAGATATACACGTAATACGGGACACTGATTGCTATACCGACCAGATTTACTTTAGAATGCAAGCCTCTACGATATGTAGTCGTCATCGTCGTCGTCGTCATCGTTGTCGTCATCGTCGTCGTCGGGCGTCGTCGTCAGAGTCGTCATTCATTGCAGGGAATCGTAGCTGGAGGTGAACGAGATTTGTACGGAAGAGCAACACCGAACCCACGTGCGGTAAGCTTGATTAGTGATAGTCAGCCTTGTAGTAAGGAGAGCCGATCCGCTGCACGCCCTGAGAGCTCAACGATTGAGAAACTCCGACCAGCGCCTGCTGAGAGTAAGAGAGTCCGCCGCCTCGTATCCCACCACCTCGTATGCGCCGCGCCTCCCGTATCCGACCTCCCTCGCGTATCCACCTCCTCCGGTATCCACCTCCTCCGTAATCCAGCCTCCTCCGTATCCACCTCCTCCGTTCCACCTTCCGCCGTAGCCGCGTAGCCGCCGCCGTAGCCGCCGTAGCCGCCGCCGTGGGCCGCCGCCGTAAATTCCGTAGAGAAACCACAAGCCGTAAGGATCGTCCTGGTAGTAGTGCAGGTGAATGAACGAGGTGTCGTCGTCCTTGTGCAGTCGGTCGAACTTCAGCTTGCGAGCTTGGTACAAAAGAGTTCCGGAACAGCGAGTTAATTCGTAGGGCAGTAACGATAGCAGGTGCGTCGTGGGAGCCGTGGCTGGTTTTGGCGGACAGCACCGAGCGACACCTGCGTGGAGGCAATCGGACCAAGAGAAAAGTCGATGACGCGATGCACGTGTCTGCGTTTGTTCCCTGTCTGTGTGTTTGGGGGGGGTGATGTGTGGTGTGTGTGTGTGTGTGTGTGGTGTGTGTGGTGGGTGTGTGTGTGGTTGGTGGATGCGTGCGTGGCGTGTGTGCGTCCGTGTGCGTGCGCGTGTCGCGTGTGTGTGTGGTTGTGTGTGTGGTTGCGTGGGCCGTGTGCGTGGTGCGTGTGCGTTGGTGCGTGATCGTGTTGCCGTGTGCGTGTGCGTGTGCGGGTGTTTCGGTGTGGCCCGGGTGGTTTTGTGTGTGGTGTGTGTGTGTGTGGTGTGTGTGTGTGTGTGGGTTGGCGTGTGCGTGTGCGTGTGCGTGTGCATGTGTGCGTGTGCGCGTGTGCGCGCGTGTGCGCGCGTGTGTGCGTGTGTGTGAACGACGGGGGTACAGAACGATGCGTAATGCAAAACCACGTAGGTTGATGACGGTTGATGATGATGATGATAATGACGGATGATGATAAGGTAGGATGATGATAACGGTTGATGTTCGCGCTATTCGGTATTGTAATGCTCACGGGCCCGCTACGTTTGAAGTTGCGTTAGATGTACAGCAGATGTTATCTTTATACGGCAGCGTAACGTACCTGGATCGCTATCAAGAGAGAGACAAACAGTAGCAGTCTCATCTTGTCGTTATCTCGGGGTTTCCTAGCTACCTGGAATACAAACAGCGCATGCGCATATTAGTCATTCACTTAGCCGAAAACACGTAGCTTAAATATGCCTTCGCGCGTACGCGTACGTGCGTGAGTACATCTAATTATACGCGCGTGTGTTTATTGTTTACCTGCGCATCCCCCGCGGGCGTGTGTTAGGTACGCGCGCATCCTGTCAGCGTGCGTGCGCGTGTGCGTGCGTGCGTGCACTTGTACGCTACTGCGTCCCTACGCATCATATATATATATATGAGTGAATTCATTTGCACCGCGAGTAATCTCGCTAGCAGATTTGCACCGATCACATAGATGTTAATTAATCATTATGAACAATTAAATGAGCAGCCGTAAATGAAACTAAACACCACCCCCTCAAAACGTTCACCGCCATTTTCAACAACAACAACAACAACAACGCCTATAACGAAACACGACGTATATACTCACTCGGCAGGGTTGCGTGATACGAGCGTGTTCTCTGATTCTACGAAGAGTTCATTGTACGCGGTCCCAAGCTTATATACTGGCCACCATATCGTGTCACCCGGACGGCGAGGAGTGGGCATCGCCCAACAATGGAAACGCTGCGAGCTATTTGGCCCGTTGCAGGCGCCCTCTTTCAAAAGCATCATTTGACCTATTTCATTTCTACACTCGCGCGTGCGTGCGCAGGCGGGCGAGCGAAAACTCGCCAAAGAAACGACGACCAACAATAGCAAAGCGACACGTGATCTTTTTGCCTGGTCAGCGTCCAATCCAGGCCGCTCTCCGGTTTGTACGTTTCATGGTGGCGTGGAAGAGATGCTTAGACATGCTTTGTTTGCTCGCACTGCCCCCGGCTCGCGCGCGAGAGTGAGAGAGAGAGAGAGAGAGAGAGAGAGAGAGAGAGAGAGAGAGAGAAAGGGAGAGAGAGAGAGAGATGACCAGGGAGCGTTCTAAACTGTACCAGATCTTATCAAAGTATCACACGGCCGTATAAAGGTGCAGCGCGGTGCTGGCTCGCAGACGTCCCCGGAAACCGTCTCACCGTTGGACACGCGGCCTCAAGATCGGAGGTTGCGAGAAGTCAGTCAGTCGACCGGTCGCGTGAACTCTACCAGTGACCAGTTCTTCGCCCGATTTCGCTGTTATTCTCTGATATTATCTGCGAGAGTGACGATAGCGTCTGGTAGTAATAGACGGGGGTCTCCTGACCTACAAGACTCGAACTGTTTCTTCGCTTGATCGCCATCTTTCGATTTCGAGTTTGAAAGGTGGTTAGAAAAGAATCGATGCGCATTGGTAGATTTACAGCTTAATGTCAAAGCAGCAACGGTCATGCTATTTAGATGAAAACCAAACTAGTTTTTACAAAAGTAAGTGAAATGTTCACACGAGCGGAGAGCCGGAAAAGCGATTTCTTGCTCGTTGTGCTTGTACTTATCGGTAGCCTATATACCTAATTACTGTTGATACCAATACAGGTAACAACGCTGCGTATGAATTTACTTTTTTCGATTCTGTCCTGAGACAAAATCTAATCGGTCAAATCTTTCGATTATGAGATTCAACATATTTCAACGTATTACAATTCCTATGCACGTACAGCGTTCTATAGCCATCAGGTGTGGATCTTGGCTTTCTCCTATCACCGGGTTACGCATATTTCCACTCATCCTGACTAGTTTCGTGTATTCGACATTATGCGATGTTGTTAGCAAATGTGTGAGATGATATTCCAGCAACTATCACTTCGAAATATCAATCAATTTAGGTTCAATGATTGAGAAATTATCAGGTAATTATAGAAGGCGAGTCGCATCCAGATAGGAATGCGTATCTATTGAAGTTGCGCTATTGACCGTAAAGAAACAAAATAACAACACAACGCTATATACGGAACAATTGTCGTAATCAGATTTTACCGAGATTTTTGGGCAACAGTTTCGTGAAGCGTGAATAATCTAGATTCGTTTCTTCCTTACGGGAGTTTCACCGCATCATTTATCTATAGGTGTGTTCCACCCGCCCTCCACAACAGCACTGTCGCACCCACCTCCTCCTACCATACTCCTGCATGGTAGCATTTTGAATATATTACATTCATCGGGATCCAATCTGCCCTCTGAGTAAGTTCATATGCATCGCCATTTTATTCCGTCCACTGAGTCGTATAAGTGTAACATTATATTGTATATAGTATATGTTTATTGAATACCGCTCAGTGGTCCCATCCCACGTTCACCGTAGCTTCCAGATCACTAACAAACAAGTTTGCAGCAATGTGGCATACTCGGGTTTTCTTCTACAACCCGATCTTTCGTTCCGTGGTACGCGTAAATATACTATATTGTCGTCTACACATGCTTGATAATTGTACCGGTGTAGTTTCGAGAAAAGAATTGCCGTATTGGACATCCAATGCTTTAAAATAGCAGATTTGCTCAACTTTACCCCCACCCTCCATCTAACTATACTAGATCACTATACTAGATCTAACTATACTAGATCTAACTACTCTATATTTAACGCTATACTAACGACACGACGTACATAGCACTACTTCGCTTAGATGGAATTCGATAAACTATGTTTAACATGTACCGCCATGCATGCAGCGAAGATCAAAGATTATTTTTGATTGGTTCCTGTTCGTTGATATTGCTACGATTATGCACGCCTTGCTGGGCATCGTGGCCGTATCCAGTTCAAGCAGACGCTACCTAAACTTTAACTAGACGGTCAGGCTGCGAGAACAATATGTAATACAGTGATACCTGGCTATATCGGCACCGGGCCGGGAACCGTGAAGATGTGCAGATTAAGTAGTGGTTCCGATTAAGCGGTGGTTCCGATTAAGCGGTGGTTCCGATTAAGCGGTGGTTCCGATTAAACGGTGATCCCGATTAAGCGGTGGTTCCTATTAAGCGGTGGTTCCGATTAAACGGTGATCCCGATTAAGCGGTGGTTTGGTTCCCATTAGCGCTGGTCCCGGGGTAACGGTGACGGTAAACGGGTGAAAGCGCGGTGAACGGGTAAGAACGTGCGTAAGGATTGTGTCTTTTAAGACAAACGTTGTTTAAGCGATGCGCCCGTTTATCCCGAAGCCCGATAGAGCGGGAACTATACTGTAACAGTGTTAGCGCAGCTGCGGTGCGTGCGTTAGCTATCCTAGCATCGGTAGTCATACCCTCCACCTATACGCCGTCCTGCACCCCGCAAGATGAACGCCTAGGTATAGAGTAAAACATGGGATAGATGCTACGGAATATGTTGAGCACTGTAATTGTGCGACTAATGAAAATATGCAAAATGTTCCCAGGTTTCTATATCCACTATGCACGGTACGTTGACGTATACATGCTATATGACGTTAGACATGACGCTATGTGACGGAACATGACGCTATGTTACGTTACGTGACGCTACGTGACGCTATATGACGTTACATGACGCTACATGGCTCCATGTGACGCTATACGTGACGCTATATGACGCTATATGTCGCTAAATCCTATATACACTATGCGCTTACGGGATTTCCTAATATACGTTATACTCGTACCATCCACACTTGACACATAACTGTCGTCCCGATGCTGATGTTCACATCCAATCATTGCAGCCATGTCGGCAATCCCTCGTGGGATAAAGGAGTCGTGGATAAGTCGTTTACGTCTCTGTGTCGGCATGACAACAAGCACAGGTACCGGATTCAATCGCCGGATTGGCCGTACCTGTACATACCTACATATTTCATTTACTCAGAATTAGACTATGATAAATTGTTTGTAACGCATATGTGGATAAATATAATAAAATGTAAACTAGAAATATGACAATACGGTGGGTTTTTTATTATAAAAAAGACGTTTCGATGCAATACGTGTATCTCAATCATGCTACAATTCACATTCATATTCTCTCTCTCTCTCTCTCTTCTGCTCTCTCTCTGCTTCTCTCTCTCTCTCTCTCACCTCTCTCTCTCTTCCTCTCTCTCTCTCCTCTCTCTCCGTCGTCCTCCTCTCTCTCTCACCTCTCTCTTCTCTCTCTCTCTCTCTTCTCTCTTCTCTCTCTGCTCTCTCTCTCTTACTCTCTCTCCGCTAATCTCTGATTCTCCTCTGGTCTTTCTTCTCTCATCTTCTCTCTCTCCTCTCTTCTCTCTCTTTCTCTTTCTCCTCTCCTCTTTCTTTCTCCTGTCTC